GCAAATCCAATGGCTGTCAGCCTCCATTTTATAACTACATGGGACGTCCTGACATTACCATGCAGCTGGTTCTGGAAGGTATCCATGCACAGAAAGCACCAAAACAAAAAAGGAAACTACAAAATTGGAGGAAAGAGATATTCAACTGACCCCATCTTCTTTGATTTCAAAGATTTGGACTGATTTTGGTTTTTACTGAATAAGTTTGAGTTTGACGTGCTTCACTGTGTGCAAGGTTTGCAGAATGAAGATGAAGCACTTTGGGAACACAACAAATGGGCTCACATTATCAGTTTTTAATTAAAAAAATCGATTTTGAATCAAATCGTGGCCCCAAAAATCAGAATAGAATCGAATCSTGAGATAGTAAAAGATTCCCACCCCTATTGTTACACATTGTACTTTAACTGAAAACACATTGCTATATCTCCTACCTTTAAAGTATAAACCCTTAAAAATGCAAGCAAAAATTCTTAAAACATAAATTCACAGTACAAATGTTGACATTGTACGTTGAGGACTGACTTAGGAAAATACTATTTGCGTAACCAGTTCTTTAAACTGGAAATCTTAAAATAGGGCTGGTAATTATTTTTTTGGTTTTTCATGCACTCAGCATTTTTTCCCACAAATTTGATAAATGTTTATTACGCTAAAATTGTACACTTGTCTTAAAAATAAAACATTTGTTACAAATAATCAAAATGAGCTTAGCAGTGAAGATAACAATCTCAGTTTTTGTTTGAACACAACTGTTTTTGGCAAACACAACACTGGCAGCAACAGCGACAACAGAAATGTCGTAGTTGACAGAGAAGTCCACTTGACGTCTCTGGAACCACTCCTGTTTTACTCCAAGCTTTGTTAGTTTTTGTAGACAGGTTTTGTCTTGTTTGCATTGTTGCATCAAATGTATGCATATCTACTTGTGATGTCTGATTAGCTTTTTCACTAGTTATGACTATTTTAGAGCCTGTTTCTTTGAGGTGGAGCTTCTCAAGTTCACCTAGCAAGCAGACCTTAAGTTGCTGAAGTTCAGAATATTCTTTAGTAAGGGACTTGGTTTCACTGGCCCTTTCACCACAAATCATTTTGTCGCTAACTTTTTCGAATGTTGAGGCATTCGTTGTTTTTTCTTTAGGCGGCAGTTTTCTTTTAACGAAGTGCTGAATAACTTTCAGTCTTTTCTCCAAGTTACTTTTAATTTTCTGTCCTCTTTCTTTCATTAAACCTATTTCCTTATGTTCAACTCTAGTATCCTTCCATAACCTTCGCAAGTACTCTCTTTGTTCCTRGTTTGTAAAGTCGTGTCTTTGAACTGAACTTGTGAAAGTTTTTTCATGATTAGGTTTCTGTAGAATGACTTCTTCTTGTTGTGTACTGAAACTTTTAAAATCATTTTCATCAGTTGTAAAAGAAATATGCATGGAATCTGATTGCAAACGTTCTTTCTTACCAGTAAACATGTTAAACTCCTTAAAATCTGATTGTGGTACATCTTGTAAGCAGAAGCTTTCAGTTTGCGTTGCCTTCTCACACTTGACTGTGTCTCTAAAGTTCACTAAAATGTCTTCATCCTGTATAAAGTCCACTTTAGGTTTTGTTACATTGTGGGTCCCATGTTCATAGTTTTGTTTCAAKAGAGTTTCTGTTTCCTGCTTTCTCTTAAGCATGTCAAAAAGAATGGTTTTTAGACTTCCAATTTCATTTTCAAATACATTTTTGTAGAAGGTAAATTGTATATTCAGTTTGTCAAGGGCTAAAAGCTTTTGTTTTATATGAAAAAGTACATTTTCATTCTCACTTGAGACTAATTCTTTTTGTTTGGAGGAAAACTTACTTTTAGATTGTCTAAGTCTTTCACACAGTTGTTCTACATGTTTGATCACATTTTCAAGTTGGAGTTTCTCCTTCTTTATGTCATCCAGGAAACTGGTCAAACCTTGTTTTTTCTTCTCAAGTTCAGTCTTTGTCATTTCCAACTTGTCTCTGTCTTCTTGAATC